GCAGCGTTATCTCCTTCAAAGTGGACAGAGAATGTCATGTGTCACTATTCCAAGGAGCTGCTCTCATCCTGAGCCAGATTTTCAGTGTGTTAGCACAGTGCAGAGTGGTGTGTTCCCTTTCCACAGCCAAATATCCCAGGGGTAGGGATGATGGCCCCGGAGACCTGGGTGAATCAACTCCCCCACCAAAACACCTTGGGAATGGGGTGGCTCAGGGAGGGGTGTGAAATCCCTGACAAAGCTTTCCAAGCAGAGGTAATTGCTGTGAAACCTCTTTTAGAGACTCGTCCCCTTTATGGGAAGGCAAAGCCTGTGAGGGGGCTCTGGCTGGCCCTGAGCAGCCCCGAGGAGCCCGCGAGGCTGGGACGGGCACGGTTTGTCCCTGGCACAGGCTGGCAGTGGCCCGTGCTGCAGGGCAGCCAGCCCCGGCTGGGTGGGCTCACCCCGGCTCTGTGCGGGGCAGGGGCTCAGCACTGGAGCCCTGCCATGGATGTCCACCAAAGAACAAGAAGGGGATGAATGAAAACAATGAGTTAAATAGAAATAAAAATTCCTGCTAATAATTTCGCTGCAAAGCTGCCTTTCTGCTGCTCTGCATTTCCCCGAAGGACGGACCCGGAGCTGCCGCATCTCCATGGTGACTGCGCGGCGCTGGCACCGCAGGGCGCTCGGGTGGCACCGGGGCCCCCGGGCTCCGAGAGCCGGGCACGACCCGAAAACAGCCCGGGGGAACAGGGGCTGCCCTTCCCAAGGGACTGCCGTGCAGATCCCCGCCCAGCAAGGCTCAGCGCCAACGCAGATGTGCCAGGGCAGAGGTGGCTTTGGCCCTGGTGGTGGCACTGGTGTCACTGGTGTGGTGGCCACCACACCAACACTGCCCTGCCCGCTGGCTGACCACGGCCACGGCCCCTCCTGTGCACCCCAGAACGGTTCGTGAGAGCTGCAGCCTCATTTATACCTATTTTTAAGTCGCTGATATTGTCTCTGCACTGGCTAAATATAAAAGTCTTGTAGCGAGTGGTGAGTAACGTTTGGCGAGGAGCCACGGCGAGGCAGCACGGCCGCACCCGGGGGCTGCCAGCCTGGTGTGGGGGGACAAAAACCACCCAGCACCCGAACTGCTGCCCCCCAAATCCTCACAAAAACCACCCAACACCCGAACTGCTGCCCCCCAATCCTCACAAAAACCACCCAACACCCGAACTGCTGCCCCCCAATCCTGACAGAGCTGCAGGAGCTGTGCCCGGGCTCAGGGGATGGAGCAGGACAGCTCCAAGGGCATCCCTGTGTCCCACGGGCGGTGCAGGGAGCTGCTGTGGCTCTGCAGCACCCCTGGCATTTGCCGGGCTCTGGGTTCAGCTGCCGTGTCCCCGAGGCTCTGCCGGCCCTCGCCCGGCCCCGCTCCCATCCCTTCCCCATATCCCATCTATTTGGGATGGATCTGCCTTCCTGCCCGACTCCCTGCCCACGGACAGACCCCGCGCGGTGTCTCCGGGCCAGGACAGGGGGCACGGTGCCCACGGCTGCGGATCCATGGCCAGAGAGCAGCAGTGTCCCCGGGGTCACCCCCAGCCCAGCGGGGTCAGCGACTCCTGCAGGAATTCTGCAACATCCGAGGGCGGTGACAGACACAAAACCTGCCGCTCATGGTGAAATTCTCAGCGTGAAGGAATTCAACGCCATCGGCTCGTGGGGCTGGGAAAGAACCCCAGGTTTTGGAGCTCCTGGTTTCGTTTTGAAGAGACCCGGCTGCTCCGGCCCAGGGGACCAGCGGAGGGGTCCCGGGGGAGGTTTCAGCCGAGGATTCAGCCCCAAAGCTCGGGTGGCACCGGCCCGGCCCCGCTCCCGCCCGCCCCGGCAGCAGCAGATGGCGCCAGCGGCGTCCGGAGCGGCTTCCCTGGCCGGGAGAGAGGGATGGGAACGGGAGAGAGGGATGGGAACGGGAGAGAGGGATGGGAACGGGAGAGAGGGATGGGAACGGGATGGGAACGGGAGAGAGGAATGGGAACGGGATGGGAACGGGAACGGGAACGGGAACGGGAACGGGAGAGAGGAATCGAGATCGGGATCGGGGATCGGGATCGGGATCGGGATGGGAATGGGATGGGAACTGGAGGGGAACGGGAGGGATGGGAGCGGGCAGGAACGGAGCACGGGGATGCTCGGGGGGTTTCTCGGGGGGTGGATGCTCCTGGGAGCCCCATGCCCGGCGGGACAGGGACAGTGGGGCTGGGGACAGCGCAGTGGGTCCGGTCAGAGCGTGACTCTGTCCCTGCCATCACCTTCTGTGCTGCCTGAGCCCCTCACGGGTGTGGGAGGTATCAGGAGAAAAGAATCCAAGGAGAGCTCAGAGCCCCTTCCAGGACCTTTAGAGCCCCCTCCAGGAGAGCTGGAGAAGGACTGGGGACAAGAGATGGAGGGACAGGACCCAGGGAGTGGCTTCCACTGCCAGAGGGCAGGGATAGATGAGATATTGGGCAGGAATTGTTCCCTGGCAGGGTGGGCAGGGCTGGCACAGGGTGCCCAGAGCAGCCGTGCCTGCCCCTGGATCCCTGGCAGTGCCCAAGGCCAGGCCAGTAACGTGAGTGTCCCTGCCCATGGCAGGGACTGGGCTGGAGGAGCCTTAAGGCCCCTTACAACACAAACCAGTCTGGGATTCGGATATTCCTTGGATTTCAGTGCCTTTTCTGCATCAGTACCTCGAGGATTTGTTGCTGGTTCAAGCGTGCATCATCCCTCCTGGCCCAGGATGTGATTCATCACATCTTGCACAAGATGGAGCAAGGCTGATGAGTCCCTGCCCAGCAGGATGGGATCGTTCAGTGCCTTGTCTCTGCAATAAAGAGCACGGGACACTGAGCTCCGTGCCTTCCAACAATCCCTGGGCTGATCACTCTTGCTGTGCTACCCCAGGGACCCCGTCTGCACTTCTGCTTCCTCTAGACTGTAATTTACTCTCAAGGAATCCAAACCCAGAAGAAAACACTGAAGGTTTGCAGTCTCACCTTCTCCATACCATGGAGTGCAGCACTTCCCCAGTGCACCCCTGCCCACCTGCAGCAGCTCCTGCAGGTAAAACCCTCTGGTCTCACAAACCCAGGAGGGGCAGGAGGCTCCTTCCAGCTTTCAGGGAACTGTTCCATGCTGGGTTATCCTGGCTGGTCAAATTTGTCCCACTCTGCCACTCTGGAGCCCCAGCCTGCTGTCACTGTGTCCTAACCCACAGGCCAGGCAGACCTGGAGCCTCTCATGTTCTGCTTATAGGTGTAAGCTGTAATCCAATTCCTGTAATGATCTTTCTGTTAAACCCAGCAGGTTAAGCTCTTTAGTTCAGGCTGTTGAATATTGTTTAAAACCGACCCTCATTTTTGATTCTCTGACTACCAGTTCTGAGTGAGGAGCAGCAGCTTGTTTGTGGGGTCTTGTTCTTTTCATTTTTAAATATAACTGAATCTAAAACCCATTCCAGACTCAAATTAAAGGCAGAGATTTTATAACACAAACAAAAATACACTCATGGCATTGCTGTGCTAAAAATGCTCCGAGGCTGCACGTAGGCTGTTTGTGCTGCCCTGCCAGAGAGCACCACCCTCACACTGAGGGTGCATCCCACAGGCAGCCAGGGGCTGGACCCCATCCTGAAAAGGGATCCTTTGGGGTCCCTTCCAGCTCAGGATCCTCCACAATTCCATGGTACCACCGGATCCAACACAGCTTTTTGTGCTCAGCAGCAGCACAGGGGAATTGAATCAATTAGTGCCACAATAGGTGGCTCTGGAACCTTTATGCATTTGGAGGAAATAATCTGCATTTATTCCTTGCTACAGAAAATAATGCTCCTTCTGGCTTGCTTTCCTAATGATTGTTTTTCCTGTTTGGTTCTGGACTAATGAACAAAGCTCTGGCTCCTCGGTGCAGGCAGAACCTGGCCCGCCCATTTATCTCTGCTAGAGCAGCCAAATGGCATTTGCTGTCTCGAGCAGGAAATGAGCAATTAAAAGGCAACAGGAGGTTATTTTTTTATTTCCCTCTCTCTCCTCCAGAATAATAAACATCTCCAAGTGAATGTGCCTTGTGCGCCGATTACTTGGACAATTTGGTGTGAGGCAAATTGTTCTTAAATAGGATGGCAATAAATGTGTTAGAATTTGAAAAATCCCAGTAGTTTTTCAAAATAATTGGCTTTACATCTCCTTCAGAGCACAGAGTAAGCAAAAACCTTTTAAACTAATCAATAAGAAGCCAAATGAATTAATTTTCCTAGACTGCTTCAACACGAAGGGACACAGCAGTGCCAATGTGTGCAGTGTGGTTCAGGCAGGCTGAAGCTAACAGCTGGTGTTAGTGTTCCTCACATTCACTCCAGCCCCTTCCAAATCCCTGTCAAAAGCACTTAGGTGGAAAGACTGCACTTCCTTGGCTCGGGCAGGGCAGAGGCACAGTGGAGGTCACATGCAATAAAATGTCACCATTGTGGCAGCACCTCTGGAAGGGCAGGGGCTTGATCCAGGGAGAAAACTTCAAGAAGAAAGGCCCAGCCCAAATAACAGCTGTCCTGCACGAGCAGAGGTCCCCAGTGCCCACATCCCCAGTGCCCAAATCCCCAATGCCCAAATCCCAGGTGCCCAAATCCCCAGTGCCCCAATCCCCAGTGCAGGAGCAGGCGTTCCTGAAGCAGTTTCCTCCCATCATGGTGCCCAATGCCATCCCTGGGCTCGCCCCTGCTCCCCCTGGCACTGCAGGGAGCGCCCAGCAGAGCTGGCACCTGCCCAGAGCTCTGGGTGGGCAGCGAGGCACCTGCAGAGCTCAGCACCTCCCTGGGCGTGCAAGGGATGGATACAGGTGTGCAAGGGATGGATGCAGGTGTACAAGGGATGGATACAGGTGTGCATGGCCTGTCTGCAGTGCTGGGCTGTGCCAGAGCTGTGCCAGAGCTGTGCCAAGCCATGCCATGCCATGCCATGCCATGCCATGCCATGCCAGGGGTGCATTCCCCTGGCTGATGCTGGCTGTGTCCCACGGCTCAGGGCACAGCCAGCACACCTTGGGCTGCCCTGCCCGAGTCAGCAAAGATGGATTGGGCAGAAATCCTTCCCCAGGAGGGGCTGGGGCCTGGCACAGGCTGCCCTGAGAAGCTGTGGCTGCCCCATCCCTGCTACTGGAGAGCATTAACATAAGCACTAACAAAAAAGGGATTCATCATATCTAATGGATCATTGTTAAAAACTATGTGAATAAAATTACAACTTTTCACAGAGCAACTTACTCAAATACAATACTGAAATGTCAGTTCCTGCATTAATTAATAGATATTCATGGTATCTAACCAATCCAAGTGCTTTTCAGCTGGGCTCCAGACTGCAGTTCTGTTGTTTCTGTTTCGGCTGCAGGAGCTGAAAGTCTCCCCCTCTCTCATTTGTGTCCCCAGCCAAAGCAATTCCCTGCTCCTGGGGCAGCCAGAGCTGCAGCCGTGCCTAATGACAGGGAGGGAGGGCAGGGAAGCCTGTCAAACAGGATTATTCACTAAAAACCCAGCTAAGTGGATTTAAAATTGCAACCTGTCACTGCCTTCTGCAAGTCTTTTAGGAAGAGCTGGAAACTGGAATAACAATTTTATCAGGAACAGAAAACCTAAGAAAGAAAGAAAAAGAGGATTTGTGGGAGGAGGCAGCCAGCCTGGCTGTGGGATGAGCTGTGGGTGGTGGGCTCAGGTCACAGGATCCCTGGGAAATAAGGTGGGGGGGAACGATGCCTGTAATTCCCGGGGCAGAATAGCAGAAACCGTAGAGAATACAGAATTTTAGATGTATTTTTATTGTGGAATAGCTGTATTCTACTAAAGAAGGAAGTATGTACAGCATGTATTGCATATAAAAACACATAATCGATATTTATATATTTAAATACATATTCAAAATTTGTGTGTATGAATATAGAATACCACAGCTTAAATTTTATATACATATAGATACATGTGACTTCCTTAAACTCAGTTGTTCCTGTGCCAGGGGAAATATTGATGCTTCATTCCTTGCTGTCTCCTTCCTCTGCACCCCAAAGATCACCCGCAGGCAGGTACAAGAAATAACTAACTGAAGAGAAACACAACTGAATTCTCAGTGTTCAGCTCCCTCCACAGCCCAAACTGTGCTGTGCTGGGCCAGGAGGAGCAGCCAGAGGCAGGAGTTCTGCCCCACCCGAGGGTCAGTGCTGTCCCTCACAGGTCTCAGAGCCTGCTGTGGATGGGGAAAATCCAGCAGAGTGGTTTTGTTAAATACCAAATACCCCAAATGCTGCTGGGGCACGAGTCCCTGCAGGCGAGCAGGAGCAGGAGCAGG